TCTTCGAGTTGTGTATAGCGAACATGACAAAACATACATACAGCATAATCACTACCTTACCCTTCCCGAACCACATAACAAACGAACTACGGGTTGCGCACCCGTGCCCTCACGGTAAGTCAATGTAGAAACTCACGGTTTCAACATTTTGGGCCTCGCTCCACTACACTTGACATGAATAAAAGACAAAAATCATGGCAGTGTACCTTTCCATATTCTAGGCGTAGATTCACTATCTTTTTGCACATTTCGAGAGTAATGGAGCGAGGCCCTTTGTCTTCGCTACACAGCTTGTCCATCCAGAAGAAATTTCAGTTTCACAACTATGTTCCGCGCAAGCACGGGCAGGGCTTGAAGCGCACCGAACGAAAAGGATTGTGATCAGGCCTGGGCACACCACTCTTGAAACGGGCCCAATCTCGGGATGTCGCCACGCTCCACTTAGCACGGCAACAGCCTAGTTGTTTTTTGTGTTTTTTTTTTCGTTTTTCGTTTTTCGTTTTTCGTTTTTCGTTTTTCGTTTTTCGTTTTTCGTTTTTCGTTTTTCGTTTTTCGTTTTTCGTTTTTCGTTTTNCACACACACATGCACGCACACATACATACACAAACACACACAAACACACAGAAAAGAAGAAGAAGAAGAAGAAGAAGAAGAAGAAGAAGAAGAAGAATAGTGGATAGTGGAAAACAGTGCCCAACTGCCTTTCGTACACGCATCGAAAGCTCTTCATTACAAAGCCGCGCATACTCGTCTCAGCTCTCGCGCACATTCCCCGACGCGTTTCGATCGGTTGCGCTCCGATCATCCTCAGGGGGCTAACCTCATGACCCCGCCTTGCGGGGAGGTGGAGGAGGAGGAGGAGGAGGGTAGAAGAAGAAGAAGAAGCAGAAGATTGGCAGAAAGACTATATACGTATATGATTGGATCTGTCACCTGATCTCGCGCTCCAAGCCAGCCCCGCGAATTTAACAGCAGCTGTCCAGCGGCTCCTCCGCACACAAATTTTTTGCCCTTTGCAGGTTTGACAAACTCCGGATCGAGAGCTACCGCTTTCATCGGACGCCCATACTCGTACCTCTCATGTTCATCGGAGTACAGTCCGTGAACGACAACTGCACCATCATCCGAACAACTCCCGACGTATTCGTTGGCGGCATCAAAACTCAACCCCGTCACCTTTGATCTGTGCGAGGTGAACCGTTTGATTTCATTCCCGTGGATATCCAACACGTGGACACGCCCTCCACGTGTCCCCAGCCCTACGATCTTCTGCGAGACTCGAACGCAACTCGCCTCATCCGCTCTCAAAAGGTCCGGAATACTGGCTCCCAATCGGTGGTACTTGAGTCGAGGTTCCTCTTCTTCTTCATCTTCCTCTTCTTCATCATCCTCGCCTTGATCGCCATCGCCGTCATCATCATCGTCATCATCGTCATCGTTCTCATCATCAACAGCATCATCGTCCTCCGCTTCGCCATTCTTATCCCCCTGGCGCGCCTTCATCGGCGCAGCCCCGCCGCCGCGCTCACCGCCATCGCTTTCCCCTCCCCCTCCCTCGTCCGGATCGCGACCGCCTTCTCCATCTCTCAGCTTGTCATCAGCGCGTGCGTCACTCCACGAATCCCCCCTCCGCGAATCGTCCGCCATTCCCCTCATCGACTCCCCCTCCCCATCTTCCGCCAGAAGCCGATCATCCGCTGGGCCAGGCGCTGCGCGCCGACGATGAACATGGCTTCCTGGCGCAGTAGCACCGCCATCGCCGCCAGCCGCTGAGTTGGTGACCGCGGGAGAAGACGAGGAGGCGGCGGCTGAAGAAATGCTACGACGCCGAACGAAACGCGCTCTACCCATCGCGCCTCCCCCACCTGCTCCCCCACCTCCACTTCCTCCTCCTCCTCCTCCTCCTCCTCCTCCTCCTCCTCCTCCTCTCCCTCCTCCTACCGAAGTGCTGAACCCTGTAGCAGACAGCGCACCCCGACCGCCCCCCCTCTGCGACCCGGCTACGGCGGCCGGCATCTCCTTCTCCACAAGAGATTAACTTCTCTCTCTTTTTCTTCGCCCTCTTCTACAGACTCCCGCTCGAGGGTTCGAATCCTCTACGCTCCTCCACCGCACTAGCCAACAGACGGATCGCTATCGCCCTCGTCCCGGCAACTCTCTCTCTCTCTCTCTCTCTCTCTCTCTCTCTCTCTCTCTCTCTCTCTCTCTCTCTCTCTCTCTCTCTCTCTGTGGACGATGACGGGGACGATGACCGGGACGATGACGTGGACGATGTGGGGTGGCGGTCGACGAAGCCTTGCATTGCGCTGATCTGTACGGGTGCGTCATCATCCGTACAGGTCGTCAGCACCGTCTTCCAAATGTATCCCGCCACCACTTTACATCGTCCACGTCACCGGCCACGTCATCCACCGTCATCCGCCACGTCATCGTCCACGTCAGAGAGAGAAAGAAAGAAAAAGAGAGAGAGTAGGGGGGGAGAGAAATGCTTTCTAACCAATCAGTGGCGCACAGGCAGACGCCCATACGCTTGATACGGAAATGTGGAAACGACCTCTGAACTGTGGACAGGGGAAAGAGAAAACCGCGAGTGCTCACTTGAGCGAGAAATCACACGCGCGCACGTGAGATGGAGAATGAGAGCAAATCAGAGAGAATGAGAGCGAATAAGAGCGAATGACAGAGAATGACAGAGACGATCTACTTCCTATTTTCCTCGACTCTCACTTCATTCCTCTTGCCGCGCATACGCCAGGGCGGACAGCTGGCAAACGGATATCCGAGGACATTGTAGAGCAATTATAACGATAACAGAGTAAGAGGAGGAGGAGGAGGAGGAGCAGGAGGAGAAGCCCATAATTTCGATGACAATGAGGCGAAACAGCAGATAGGAGAGCCTTAGGATGCTCGTCGGCATTCAATGGGATGTTTTCAGGGAAGAAGAGATGTCCTCAGTCGAAAGGGGAGTCGTCCGGAAGAGAGCGGGACGCTAGAACCGGACGCTAGAACGGGACGCTAAAACGGGACGTTAGGACGGGACGCTAGAACGGGACGCTAGAACGGGACGCTAGAACGGGACGCTAGAACGGGACAAAGAAATTAAGAAAAAACTGAAGGATATAAAGGAAATTAAGGGAAGACTCACACTAGGACTCTCTGGGTTGAATTTGCCCTTAATTCCGGATAGATACATCGAAGATCGTCCTCGTGTGAGCATATGCCCCAGCGAGGGATCTGGGAGAGAAGCACAGCGCGCGGATTGAGATGGACGACGCTCAAAACGATCGGAAGAGACCAAAACAAAAAAAACAAAAGAGCAGCACGGGAGGCGGGAGACGCGGGAAAAAGAGGGAGAAAGACAAAGCAAAAACACTGATAGGTGAGGCAAAAGACGCGGGAAAAGAGAAGGAAGACAGAGCAAATGATTGGTAGACCCTGCCCATGTGGCTGGATGGTACACCTACCAACTCTTGATACACAGACCTAACGGCGTGATGGACTCAGATGAGCAAGATTCTAGCTCCGAATTTACTGTATCCGGGACCGGTCAGTTGGATGACGTCACCTCAACGCGTCGCCATTTCAATTATTCACACACACACACACACACAGATGCACACACATGCACGCACACCCACCCACCC